TCACAGCTATGAAGATTGCTTCTAATACTGAAGTTCAATCCTTCTGCGAAAGTGCATTTGTGATGGCTGGAGGTATTTATAGACCAAGGATCCATGGAGTCCTGTGAGGAGTGGAGGTGAATTTGCTCCAGAGGCTGCCCCTGGCTTCTGCAATGGACACTACCTCACCTTGGTGCCCCTTGGCGCTAGAGTGCACTTTTAGGACAGCACTTTGCACGTGACATTCAGGCACCTGTTCGTGAGACTCTCTCCTGCAACTACACCAAAGCCCCTCAAGGGCAAAGGATTTTTGTTTTTCTCACTTTTGTACTCCCAGCTCTTACCACTGTGCTTTGAATATAGAAGTGCTCCACTAATGACTGGGGAACAGAATCAAACCAGGCCAGGGACCAGGCAGCCACCGAAGACTCTCCTTCCGGCCACTCTGCTTACTGCCCCACATGTCAAAATAGAAGAACTTAAATCCCCCAAGATAGGAACGCCAGGAAAATGGCCCCACAATCAGCTTCCTTGGGAAGCACAGCCCTGAAGCAGGAACATGAAGCTTTCGGGGTGATGCGCAGCCCTGCAAGCTCAGATCTTCCTTCTTCGGGAGGTGGTTTCCCACGGAGACAGCCAGATTCGTGGAACATTTCCACCCTCATGGCCTCCTTCAAGAAGGAGCTGGTTCTCTTACTCGGCTTCATTTTCAAATGCTAATTTGGTACACACCCTGAAAGAGTATCTAAGCCAGAGGTGGATTTGCTTCAGAACAGTTCTTGTTTTCAACGACTGGAACACCCTCTCTGGAGATGACACATATCTTAGGTTAAAGTGTGTTTCTTATTGTGTTGAAGATGATCTTTCTCAGTAGGAATGAACTATAGACACACAGGTCCAACTTCACGCAGCAGTTACGACCTTGAAATCATAGGTAAGTTGAGCATCTGTACTGTATAGTGGAGTATCTATATAAATGACTTTTCCATGCATAGAATCTTTTTTTTTTTTTTGAGACGGAGTTTCACTCATGTTACGCAGGCTGGAGTGCAATGGCGCGATCTCGGCTCACCGCAACCTCCGCCTCCTGGGTTCAGGCAATTCTCCTGCCTCAGCCTCCTGAGTAGCTGGGATTACAGGCACGCACCACCATGCCCAGCTAATGTTTTGTATTTTTAGTAGAGACGGGGTTTCACCATGTTGACCAGGATGATCTCGATCTCTTGACCTCGTGATCCACCCGCCTCGGCCTCCCAAAGTGCTGGGATTACAGGCTTGAGCCACCGCGCCCGGCCCATGCATAGAATCTTATAAAAATATAAAATTATGTGCATGGAAAACTCATTAGCTAAACCAGTGGCATTGATGTATATATGCCTGTATGCATGCATGCATTTACTTTTTGCAATCATGGAGATCTTTTACCAAATAAAATCAGATGTGGGAACCTATTGTACCAAACAGGTGGTAGACGAGGCCTCTGCTCCAAGCCAGGGTGAGCTGGAAAGAAAAGAGCCCGGCGGTTCTGGCGTCGGCTCCACCCCTTTCTCCTTTTTCCTTGTAGGAGGCCACAGGAGCCTTTGTGGGAAATCTGAGGCCCCTGAGGCCTCTCAATGCAAACCACTAGCTTTAAGAAGCCCTACAATTACGAATCCTTTAAGACATGATTTAAAATGTTTTTCAAATGTAAGTTGCTGTTCTCCTGAACCACATTCCCCTCAGTATTTTACTGCAGTGATTTGGGTTTTAATGCAAACCTTTTGCTGTACCTAGATGACTAGAAGGCATGGGAGCTCCTTCAACCAGATCAAAGCTGCCTGTCCTTCCCATGATAATGCAGTCCCTCCCCTCAACTTTAACTCAGGCCGAGCCTCTCTGTGCCCCTTTGCCCAGCTGTCCACCTCCACCCCGGCCTTTAGCTAAGTGACTCTGCATGGCCTGGATGTACCTTTCAATCCTCAGTCTCTCCAGCTACAGTCCCTTTCCCCGGCATCTGCAGCAGAGAACCCAGGCTTTAAGGAGAGCAGACATGTCCCCATGAGGGTCGGAGGAGTCCCCTAAGAAATGAGACCACAGCCCAGCTCTGTCCAAGGGCAGGATGGGGCAGGAGCAGGAAGCTGTCTGCAGGCCCATACACAGCACCCCGCCCACTTGAGGCCCTCAAGGGAAGCATCTTTAAAGCAACATCAGCCTCAAAGAAGGGGTTTGAACCCACCCGTGAGACTCTCCTCCCTCCTCAGTCCCTACCGAATTTAACAGAGAAACAGAAGTCTAGGATAAAACTGCGTTGGCTGAAAACAGGGGTGGGTGACATCACCAAGCCTGAGTTCTGGGGAATTTCTGCACATTCTTCAGATGAGGGCAGGATGGCCTGGACAGCTGCAAAGTGAGCACGTGTGAAGGAAAAGGAAGGAGCTCCTGGAGTGACCGCCAAAGTGGGTGGGGAGTGCAGGCACCGAGAGCGGGCGCCGGCCATGGGCTGCCGGTGAGCATGGTGGTTGAATTGTGTCTCCTCCGCCCCAGATTGGCACGTGGAAGTCTGAACCCCCAGTACCTCTGTAGGCGACCTCATTTGGAGATAGGGGCTCTGTAAATGTGATCAAGTTAAAGTGAGGTCATTGGGGTGAGCCTTAATCAGCTGTGACTGCTTTCAAACAACGGGGAAATTTGGACACAGAGACAGACATACAGGGAGAAGGCCATGGGGAGATGAAGACGGATCCACACGCCCGGACAGGGGCCTGGAGCAGCTCCTTCCCACAGTCCTTAGAAAGGACCTGCTCTGCCAGCATCTTGATCTTGACTTTCAGCCTCCAGAACTGTGACACAGCCAATCCCTGTTGTTAAAGCCAGCCAGCTTCTGTCTCTCTTATAGCAGCCTTAGGAAACTAATCCAGATGGGTATACCCTGGACTGGCACTTAGGATGCCAGCAAAGTGGAAATACTGCCGTTGGGGTCCACGATGAGCTGGTGGAGCCCCTGGGTCGGAGCCGCAGAAAACCTTCAGTGAAGGGCCACATTGCTCTTGAGGGCTGGGACTCTGGTTTTTGTCTCTGGGGATAGATTAGCTGAGATGAGACTTTCATCTGAAGCAAGAAGGATCGCACAGGATTAGGACCCATCCCAATGGCCCACCTGACTGCCCTCCACTGCTCAGCAAAGACAGGGTGGGGCTGTCTCCTGATCTTCCCAGACGAGGTGGAGTCCCAGGGAGTTCTCAGCTGACTGGATTTCCAAACTTGCAAAACAAAATTTCAGATCCAACTAAATTTGGGCCTTCTTGCTTCAGCCGTAAGTGTCATCTCAGCTAATCCGTCCCCAGAGATACAAACTGGAGCCCAGCCCTTAAGAGCAATGTCACTCCTCACTAGAGGTTTCCTGGGGGGGGAGGCAAAGTGCGTGCTCTGCTTCAGTTTCTTATGATGAATGAGGTCTCCGCTTCTTCCACTTCCCTTCTCTCCTCCTGCTCCAAAGGCCCTAAGACAGGGCAGCTGCTCAATGCCTTCTCTCTCTCTCCTCCTTTCCCCCCTAAAATCCCAGCTGCACTGCTTCCCCTTCCCTTCTCTGTTCCAACTCTCTCAACTTCCTTCCTCATTTCGTGTATTTCCCCCGTTTTTGCTCCTTACGCTCTTCTTTTTTTTTTTTTGAGACGGAGTTTCGCTCTTGTTGCCCAGGCTGGAGTGCAATGGCGCGATCTCGGCTCACCGCAACCTCCGCCTCCTGGGTTCAGGCAATTCTCCTGCCTCAGCCTCCTGAGTATCTGGGATTACAGGCACGCGCCACTATGCCCAGCTGATTTTTTGTATTTTT